GGAGGGTCTTATGGTCACCTTCTGCTGATATGAGCAGAGCAGTGAAATTTTAGGAGCTTGGTCTGACTGTCCAGAGTTCTCTTCCTAAGAAAACAGCCCTGCCCTGAGCAAGATCTGGTTGGTTATTTCCAATCCAGGTGTGAAGGAGACTCCACCCCCTCTGTTGTGGCCTGCATCTCCTGCATGGCATCTTCCCTTCTCCAAACCTCTGCAAATGCTCTTCCCCGCCTCCTCCTCAAAACTTCCTCTCCTCAAGCTATGTGCAGTGTCCCCCCCCCCCCGCAAGCTGAATTGACTTGCATCCCTGGGGGTCCGCAGCACTGCTTGTCGACACTCCCTCGCCCTTCCTGCTCCACTCACGTCACAGTTGCAAGCATCCTGTAGCATCACAGTGGTGGCGGCTTGCAAAGAAAATCCTGTGCGCAGCTTCTGCACACCTTTGGTTTCTTGTCCTCCTCCCTCGAGGTCCCCTTCAGGGATCCAGCTCTGTAAGATGCTGTGTCTGAACTGGCCCGTCCGAGATTGGAAGAGAACTAGAAACGCGATGGGCTGAACGTGAGAATGTGGGCACTGCTGCTCTGTCAGCCCCTGTTTGACCCCAATGCTTTATTCTGTTGTGGGCTACATTTCTGCATTTGCTGACTCTCCCCGCACCCTTGGCAGTCCTTGGCTTGCTTACAGGACCTCATTGTTTGCTCACGTATTTAAAAATGTATATTTCATGATTCCTCCAAGGCAGTTTACAGTCCGACAAAAATCCAGTCACAGGACAGGAGTAGAAACACTCCAATCCCAGAGTCAGAGTCTGCAGCAATAAAGGGTTAAAGGTGAAGGTTTCCCTTGCTCGAAAGCCAGTCGAATCCGACTCTAGGGGGCAGTGCTCATCTCCGTTTCCAAGCCAAAGAGCCAGCCCTGTCCGAAGACGTTTCCATGGTCATGTGGCCTGCATGACTAGACGCCGAGGCACACGGAATGCAGCTATAAAACTGGCAGGTTAAACTCTGCTCGCGAAACCCTGCCAGATGGACTGATCTCCAGGAGGCCGTTCTGTCTCCTGGGGGAGTGTTTGCGGAGAAATCCTGTGTCCAGGGGCCACAGTCGTCCTCACAGCCTTACAGGAAGGAATGTTCAGCAGGAGCTGCAGAGAGGCGTGTAGTTGCCACGTGGGTTGGTACGGGAGAAGGTCAGCATGCGCCGCATCTCCTCTCCCCTTTTGACCCTCTTTGCAGCCCAAACAAAGCAGAGTTCATCCGAGCAAAATACCAGATGTTGGCCTTCGTTCATCGCTTGCCGTGTCGGGACGATGACAGCGTCACCTCCAAAGACCTTAGCAAGGTAAGACTCCGTCTGCAGGCAGGTCGCAAGCAGCCTGCGTGGCTCTAGCTTGAGGGGCCGTACTGGCTGTTTCCGGACCGCCGGGCTTTGCAGCACACTATTCCCACCAAATGCTTTGCCCTCTGCTTGCCGTTGTCAAACCCCCGCTACAAAGTCAATGTAGCTGGCTTTGGTAGTGAGCAGGAGGCTGGCTGTCTGCCAGGAGGGAAGGGGAGTTTTCCCTGGGCCTCTCCCTTGCCTCCCGGCTATTCTACCTGCCTATGACCCATAACTGGCGAGAGCATCCAGGTAAAGTTCCCTCGCTTCCCCCTCAAGCACACGCTCTGAACCTTTTAAGGCAGCAACGCTTGTTTTACAGAGGTGGTCTCTTATCCAGAAAATGCCTCTTGTGAATCAGTTTTCATTTTTCACTGGATTTGAGTTAAGGTCTTGGAGACCCCGTGTAAAGAGTCCTTTGTGTCTCTCTCTGTGTCTGTTTAGATGTTGCGAACCCCGGCTGGAGTTTAAGTGGAGCATGAGAAGGCGGGGGGCAGGCAGTCAGGCAGCAAGGTGGCTCTTTTGGTGTCGTAGTTCAGTGCGCGGACTCTAATCTGGGAGAACCGGGTTTGATTCCCCACTCCTCCACTCGCAGCTGCTGGATGACCTTGGGCAAGCCATAGTCCTGTCAGAGCTGTCCTCAAAAAAGAGCAGTTTCTGTCAGAGCTCCCTCAGCCCCACCTACCTCACAGGGTGTCTGTTGTAGGGAGGGGAAGGGAAAGGAGTTTGTAAGCCGCTCTGAGACTCCTTCGGGTAGTGAAGGGCGGGGGATAAATCCAGTCTCCTCTTCTCTTGTTCTTCTCTCTCCTGAGTGTGGGGTCCTCAGCAGGGGTAAAGGAGACGTAACGTTAGAAGCCTGGGAAAGGGAGGCCTAATCCTGTCCTTGTCTTGGTTTCAGCAACTGCATTCCAGCGTCAGGACCGGGAACCTGGAGACGTGCCTGCGGCTGCTCTCTCTGGGAGCCCAGGCCAACTTTTTCCACCCGGTAAGAAAATGCCTCCTACGAGCAGAGCAAGGAACTGTTTTAGAGCGCGCCGTCATCCTTTCTGAACTCGAGATGACAGCTTCTAAACCAGGCGCGTGTTAAACATTTTTATAGGAGAAAGGAAACACCCCGCTTCACGTGGCTGCCAAAACCGGTCAGATTTTACAAGCTGAATTGCTGGCCGTGTACGGGGCTGATCCTGGCACGCAGGACTCCAGTGGGAAGACTCCAGTCGACTATGCAAAGTGAGCAGTGCTGGCGCTCGGGGGGGCCTTTCTTCTCTCTGTGCAGTGAGACTGTTGCTTCCGTTCTGGTGTGGTCGGGGGGGGGGGGGGGGGGGGGAGAGTACAAGAAGGTATTTGCCACTGAACGGTGCATGGACCGGTTTCAGTGCGTCACCTTCTGCTTTGGGGGCACAACTAGATGTGCGATGCGAGGGTGCTAATAGAAGAAAGACTTGCTGGTGCTTTAGTGGCTTTTGGCCTGAGAACCTGTCCCCGGTGCTGTGAAGAGCTCTTCGTGGTTAGGATCGTAACCTTGGTGAGGCCCGCAGCCATGACTATAATGAGCTTGGTTTTGTTCCGACCGAATTCTGACTTGGCCTCCCGTCCCCTTGGGCCCGACAGGCAAGGCGGGTATCACGAACTGGCAGAACGCCTGGTGGAAATCCAGTATGAGCTGACTGACAGGCTGGCCTTCTATCTTTGTGGCCGAAGACCTGGTAAGGGGGGGCCGCACTGACTTTGGGAAGGGTGGGAGGGGGTCCTCCCTAAGCTCGAGTTCTTGACTTGGGGGGGAGGGGCGCAGGACCCACGGGCGGCTTTGGCCTCAGGTCCATTTTTTCACCTCCAGAGTGATTTGTGTTGCTATGTTCTTATCCTTCCGTCCCCCACCAATTGGGAGAGACTGGCCGCTGGTTTGTAAAAATACAAGCAAGATGTGGGGAGGAGGAGGATGGAGATGGGGGGGGGGAAGCTAGAGGAGAGAGTTAATTCTGACAGTGCAGGGGCGAGGTGAGTATTTGTGTCTGGTTGGGTGAAGCCAGGGCTATTTTTGGGCAGGAACGCACAGGACCGGAGTTCCGGCTGGCTCCTGAGTTGGGCACGCCCAGCAGGACCTCATTAGCATAATAGGCCACACCTAACAGCAGAAACTCATTAGAATTGGCTACATTAGGGGTGTGTGGCCTAATAAGCCAATAAGCTGTGCTGTCAGGGGTGTGGCCTAATATGCCAATAAGCTGTGCTGTCAGGGGTGTGGCCTAATATGCCAATAAGCTGTGCTGTCAGGGGTGTGGCCTAATATGCCAATAAGCTGTGCTGTCAGGGGGGTGGCCTAATATGCTAATGAGTTCCTGCTGGCCTTTTTCTACAAACTTCCTTTTTAGAACAGAGAGTCCAATAGCACCTTTAAGACCACCAAAATTTTATTCAAGGAGGAGGAGGAATAAGACTTTGTTGGCCTTAAAAGTGCCTTTGGACTCTAACTTTGTTCTGTTGCTTCAGACCAACACAGCTACCCACCTTGATCTTTAGGTAAGCTTTTAAAGTTTACTAAACATTTACTGGTGTCCGGCAGGGGGCAACCTGCCACCACCCCCAGTTTCTCTGGCTGATCGCAGCGTGGCCTTCCCCTTTCTCCTGCATACCCTGGCCAGCTTAGTGCGCTGAGTCTTGCTCCAGGAAGCCCCTTTCTTGGGCTTGAGGATTCCAGTTGGCTCCGTGGGCAGGGTAGAGGTTGCAAGTGACAGCAGAGGGCGCTCTGTGGCAGGCCTCTGCTGGCGTTGTGCTCCAGGCCACTGTTCCCTCTAAGCTGAGTGAGTGTGAGCTAGCTCACAGTTTTTTTAGCCTCCGGCTCACATATTTTTGTCTTAGCTCAGGGAACATGGCTCTAGAGCAAGCTAATTGATGCAGCAGGCAAATCGCCTGCTCACCACTTTCATGCCAGTCGCTCACAAAGTAGAATTTTTGCTCACAAGACTCCACAGCTGAGAGGGAGCCTTGCTCCAGACCTCAAGTTACTTCATAAACTCCATGAGTTAAGTGAAGATTTGGACTGGAGTCTTCCAGGTGTGTCCCAGCAACCTACCTATTGTCCACTACGGAGGGATAGTATGGAGGGAGTGTGGTGCATCAGTCTCAAGCATGTGTGCATCCAGGGTGTGGTTCCTTGTGGGACCACTTTCTGAGGTCCCAGGTGATACATTCTTCAAGGCAGTGTCTGAACGCTACCCTCCCCTGCAGCGTGCATCAGCGTGGGTGCTGCTTGTATGAATTAAAAAAACCAAAAATATATAGAAGCTGTAATGATGTACAAAACGCTTATAATCTCACAATAATAATAATAGAAAAATGAACAGTCAAATTGAAAATTATTAATTCCCAACAAGTATCAGATAGATGGACCAACTTCTCTGGAGTTTTGGCATTCGTTTCATGAAGAACTTCTTCCAAACATCAAGATGTGATAGTGCTGCTTCTTATTCCATAATGTGTAAATCCAATATAAAGGTACTAATATCCTATATGTTGAACACGTTCTTACATAATAACAAATCCTTCCATCAACAGGCACACAAAGTGTACTAGCAGCCGAAACGAATGCCAAAACTCCGGAGAAGTTCATCCATCTATCGGATACTTGTTGGGAATTAATAATATTCAATTTGACTGCTCATTTTTGCATTATTATTGTGAGATTATAAGCGTTTTGTACATCATTACAGCTTCCATATGTTTTTGGTTCTTTACACTAGCTGTAATCCCTCAGATCTTCTTCGTGGTCTCTGTGCTTCACACCAATGGGATCTAGTGCGCCTGCGCTGGATCCAGCGCAGGCGCACTAGATCCCATTGGTGTGAATGGACAGATGACCACTCGAAGATCACCAGTTACTGGTAAGCAACCTGTTTTTTTGTTGCTTGTGTGAATTCAGCTGTTGGCATTTGGAAAACTGAGGGCCGAGGTCAGGCATGAGTCTCTGCTGCCCCTAATGCTGTTCCAAAACTTCTCTTTCAGATCACAAAAGTGGGCAGCATTTCATTATACCTCAGATGGCAGACAGGTAAGGTTACCGACTGGGCACTGAGAGCATCGGATAATCCGGTTAGTTAATATTTAATACTAGAGTGAAGTCAGTGGGGCTGAAAACAGGATAAGGGCGTAGAAGTTCAGTGATGACCGAACTTCTGTCATCCTCCTTTGGGGAACTGCTTGTGGCGCTTAGTCTTCTAGGAACTTCCCCACTGGGTGGGGCAGAGCTGCCTGTCTAGCAATAGCTGAGGCAGAGAGTGCTAGCCAAGGTAACACGTGGTGTGTTTCTCCTCTTACTGCTGTGCATTGGGGATTCAGACGGCTGTAAGTATACCTCTATGCTCTTAATGGATTTGCTGATTTTGTTTGCTTCTGACTAAACGTACCTGCTGCCTTTCTGCTTGAAGAAGAGAGAAGAAGAGAAGAGATTGGATTTATACCTCGCCCTTCTCTACCCAAGGGAGTCTCAGAGCGGCTTACAAACTCCTTTCCCTTCCCCTCTCCACAACAGACACCCTGTGAGGTAGGTGGGGCTGAGAGAGCTCTGACAGAAACGGCTCTTTTTCAAGGACAGCTGTGCCAGAACTTGTGACTGACCCAAGGTCACATCAGCAGGTGCAAGTGGAGGAGTGGGGAATCAAACCCGGTTCTCCCAGATTAGAGTCCGCACACTTAACCACTGCAACTTTTTTCTGCTTCCTCTTCCTTTCTAACTTACATCATTTTGTTGTGAGGGAGCAGAAAAAGGTTGCAGAAGAAATACAAAAGGCGCAAGGTCTCATCTGATGAAACCTTGAGTGAAACGGTCCATCGAGCGCTGTACCGTCAGAAAAACCTGAGACCAATTATCTTCAAAGGAAACACCTTCAATTATTTGTTACTCACTAGATAATTAAGGTAAAGGTTCACTTTCTCTAAAGCCAGTCGAATCCGACTCTAGGGTTGCGGTGCTCATCTCCGTTTCAAAGCCGAAGAGCCAGCGCTGTCCGAAGACTTCTCCGTGGTCACGTGGCCGGCATGACGAAACACCAAGGCGCACGGAACGCCGTTCCCTTCCCACCAAAGTGGTCCCTATTTATCTACTTGCAATTTCTTGCTTTCAAACTGCTAGGTTGGCAGGAGAGATAATTAAAGAAGATACATTTTTCCCTCATAAGACTTCGTTACCGTATCACGGTTGTTTCCCCTTACTAAGTTCAGCCTGTCCCCTGAGCTCTTGTCTTTGACCTCAACCTCCAGGGGGTGCCTGGAGCCCTCCTGGGGTTACAACTGTGATCTCCAGGCGATGGAGCTCAGTCCACCTGGAGAGAATGGCCGTTTTGGAAAGTGGGCTCTGTGGCATTTGACCCCGTTAAAGTCTCCCCCCAAGCCCTGCCCTCCTCAGGCTCCACCCCCAAAAATCTCCAGGTATTTCCCAATCCAGAGGTGGCAACCCTAATTGTTGGCCGCTGTCAGTGTGAAACAGCAGGACACACAAACCCCCGATGGATTCAGCGCGATCAGAACCTGCAGGCCCAGAAGCCGCTTGTAGCAACACACAAACAGAACGCGGCAAGCAGAGTGGCTCGGCAGAAGAGCGGAGTTTTCATTCATCCCCTCCGAATCAGTGTCTGCTGAGAGGTAGTTCAGAATTGTCGGAGCCACCATTGAAGCACTCCGTTTTTAGATGTGCTGACTTCATTGTTACTTCGTCGCAGAGTTGCTGGGCCAAACGACTCAATCTATTCCCCTAACCCAGCTGTGGGGAACTTACTTATCTCAGTGGTGTCGTGGTTAAGTGAGCGGTCTCTAATCTGGGAGAACCGGGTTTGATTCCCCACTCCTCCTCCACATGCAGCCTGCTGGGTGACCTTGGGTCAGTTCCAGTTCTCTCAGAGCTGTTCTCTCAAGAGCAGTTTCTGTCAAGAGCTCTCTCAGCCCCGCCTACCTCACAGGGTGTCTGTTGTGGGGAGGGGAAGGGAGAGGAGTGTGTAAGCTGCTCTGAGACTCCCAAGTGAAGGGTGGGATATAAATCCAATCTCCTCTGAACCCAATTTGGGTTGGGACTACAGCACTGAGTGGATGAGGGACTCCAGCCTCTCTCCTCCCACCCCCACATCTCTGTCCCGAGCTGGAGTGGCCAGGCGGCTGCTCAGTGCCCTGTTCCAGAGGTCACCTGCAGCTCAGGGAAAAGGCACCGGAGGGAAGGCCTAAACCCTTCCTCCCCTGAAACGGGCCCTGGAGAGCTCGGGTAGATCCCCTGCAGCTGCCGCACGGCTGTGGAGAAGGCGAAGCAGGTCAGGCTGGGGGATCCCAGCCCAGCCTGTGGCCAGATGTGCCACGTAGTCTGGCTCTCTGTTGCACCTGATGCTGAGGAGGAAAGTCGGGCGCCATCCACAGTCTGCCGACTCCTCCTCCCACCTCCCTTGGTTTTGTGTAAATGTTAAAAGACATGGACGATGACGCCCAGAGCCCCACAGGTCAGTTCTGAGGGGGAGAAACAAAGTCTCCCGGCCCCTTCTTGTGGGACTGTCCTGGGGAAGGGGAGCAGGGCTGCTGCAGCGCTTCCCAGCCTCCAGGCGGAGACCAGCAGAAGCTGCCGAAAGACCCCGGAGGACTGACTGGGCCAGGCCCCTCTTCTGTCTCTTTCCTGGGACAGACAGTCTACCAGGGCAGTTCCTGTCCTGAGGCCCAGCCGGAGGCCAGCTAGGCTGAAACGTGTCCCCAGGCTCGTCTGATGGGAAATCTGGTCTCTCCAGGCCAGGCCACTCACAGTGCTGGGTCTGCGCTTCGCTCCCTCCAGGTTCAGCTACCCTGCTGACCTTCTGTGCCGCTCGCAGCACCGTTTGGCAGATTCTCAGGCAGGACGTGTTCCCTCTAAGCAGGGGTCATTTCGTAGAAAAAGAGGTGCAGGAGCTCATTAGCATAACTCGTTTGCATATGCCACACCCCCTGACCTCACCAGAAGTGTGTCAGAGGGCAACACCCACCGCTCAGGCTCCACTGGACTGTTTTGGATTGCCAGCTATTGAGGGGGACGGAACGTGTAGATCTGTCCTCGCAGAGGAGGGCGAGCTTGTGCCTGAATAAAGCTTCGCCTTAAAGGTGCCACTGGACTGTTTTGGACCGGGGGGAGCTCTGCAACTTACCTGGCTGCTTCTTGCTCTGACTGAGGGCTGCTGGGAGCAGGGGGTGGGGCTTGTTGCATGTGCCCACCCCCTGGGCTCTTAACTGCCGGAGCTGCGCTCCTGCAGGAAATGACCCCTGCCTCTAAGCTGAGTCAGTGTGAGCCAGATCGCAGTTTTTTAGCCTCCGGCTCACGCATTTTTGTCTTAGCTCAGGAAGGAGGGCTCCAGAGCAAACTGATTTATGCAGTAGCCAAACCACCCCACTCACCACTTTAATGCCAGCAGCTCACAAAGTAGAATTTTTGCTCACAAGACTCCACAGCTTAGAGGGGAGCATTGCAGGCAGGTGAGCGTCAGACCGGGTTGCGGCACTGTGGACCTTCCAAGGCCCCAGCCGGGGGGGGTGTTTCATCCTGAATGTTGGGGGTGGGGGGCAGGGAGAACAGCAGAAGGACCGAAGGAGGAGGCAGAGGCTGTGAGAAGAGGAGGGCGGAGGGAGCGCAGGCAGAAACGAGGTGTCAGGCCCAGAGCCCCGCTCCTCGTCAGAGAGCCGGAGTCCCTTGCGAATACAGTGACCGCTTCTCGTTTTCATAGCAGTTTAGATCTGTCTGAACTCGCCAAGGCAGCCAAGAAGAAGCTTCAGTCGGTAAGTGAAGCCGTCTCTCAGCCCTTTGATCTGTTGAGGCAGCCGGCCAGCTGAGGAGACCGTGGCCGTGGCAGGGGGAAGGGCTCGCGCGAGGTCCCCGTGGCTCCCGAGTCCGGAAAAGGTTGGAGCTAAAGGAAGGAGCGGAGCGGCCCCAGTAGCCCAGACTAGACCTGTCTTATCAGAGCTCGGGAGCTGAGCAGGCCTGGCCCGCGGGGGGGGGGGGCGCCCCGGGGGGGGGGGCCGCCGAGGAGGGCTTGGCAGAGAAGCCCCAGGAAGCCACCTCTGCTCGTCTCCGGCCTCGAAAATCCCACGTGGCGGAGCTCCGTGAGGTCACCACGCAGCAGTGGCCTTTTTCAAGGAACGGGAGGGCCTGGTTTTCCACTTGATGGTTGGGCTTTTTGAGTATTAGCTGTCAGGTTTTCTTAAGGCAAGCCAAGCACCTCCGGCTCTGCCCCAAGAACGAATTGGGGGAAGGGATCCTGGGCTCACGGTCCTCTGTGGCGGCAGCAATAGAGAACACTGATTTCATGTTGGGGGGTTATTAGGAAAGGAGCTGAGTGTTTGTGGCCCTCTCTGACACGCCCCCAGGGAAATGCTGATTGCCCCTTTGGGGTCAGGAGGTCGTTTTTCTCCAGGCCAGTTTGGCCCAGGGATCCTGGAGGTTTTTTGTCTTCTTCTGGGTGTGGAAGAGTGGTCATTGGGGGTGTGGAGGGGGAGGTGTTTGTGTATTTCCTGCCTCCTACAGGGGGTTGGACTAGATGGCCCTGGAGGTTCCTTCCAATTCTAGGATCCTATGAAAATAGAATGGCCTGTAATGTAAAGCCAGGAAGCAACACCAGGGGAAAGGCCTCTGTGCCCAGTGCTTGGCCCTCCAGAGGAACCGGCTCGCACTGTCTGAGATGGGATGCTGGGCTGGATGGACCCTCACTGGTCTGGTCCAGCTGGGCACTTCTGACGTTTTTATGTTCTAAAAAAAAATTGTGTGTAGTGTGGAGAAAGCGGGTTGTCCTTCTCTGTGTAGCTGGTGACGCTCTGTGTGTGTTTCGTTGAAAGGCAGCCTGGCCATTTGGGGAGCCCTGGCAGAGCTTGCTTCCGCTTGGGGCCCCCGGGGGCGGGTCTGGTTTGGAAGCGTTTGATGCCCTCTGGGCAGTCTCGGGGGGGGGTACTTTCGCTCACCGGCCGGCCAGCTGCAGCAGGCTCCCTGTTTGCACGTTACACCTGAGCATCCAGTCCAACACTCTGTGTCACACAGTGGCCAAAAATACCCTTGCCCCAGACTGAAAGTGGCTATTGTGGCTAATAGCCACTGATGGACCTCTGCTCCATATAAGAACATAAGAGAAGCCAATGTTGGATCAGGCCAATAGCCTATCCAGTCCAACACTCTGTGTCACACAGTGGCTAAAAATACCAGGTGCCATCAGGAGGTCCTGCAACAGTGGGACCAGGGCACTTGAAGCCCTCCCACTGTTGCCCCCCCCCAAGCACCAAGAATACAGAGCATCCCTTGCCCCAGACCGAGAGTTCCTATCTATACCTTGTGGCTAAGAGCCACTGATGGACCTCTGCTCCGTATGTTTATCCAGTTCCCTCTGGATGCTGTCTGTGCTTGTAGCCGCCACCACCTCTTGTGGCCGTGAATTCCATGTGTTCATTACTCTTTGGGTGAAGAAGGACTTCCTTTTATCCATTCTAACCCGACTGCTCAGCAATTTCATTGAGTGCCCACGAGTTCTTGTATTGTACATATATCCTTGCCGTTAAATTTGCTGCACTTAGCACATCCCTCCCTTCCACGTTCATCTCCCGTCAAGCTCTTTGCTCGCACAGAACTGCCCCCCGGGGTCTTTGGGCTGTTCAGCAGTCCAGCTGGCTTCCCATTCGAGTCTCCCGGGAACATGATTTTTGTCCCCATCCTAGGGGAGTCGCTTCACTGGAGTCAGGGGTAAACGGGACGTCTTTTGTCTTTCCACACCAGCTGAGCAACCACTTGTTCGAGGAGCTAGCCATGGATGTCTACGACGAGGTGGACAGGCGGGAGACAGATGGAGGTAACTTTCCATTGCTAGTGGCACTGTGGGAACGTTACGGAGTTCTGGGGAGGGCTGAAGAGCACCCCGTGTGCCAGGCCCCTGAGGAATGTGGTACCTGGTGAGGAACTGAGCATGCCAAAAATTTCAGAGAAGAACCGCATGTTGCTGAAAGCACAGGAGACGTTGCTGAAAGTGTCAGCTTTGTGTGTGTTCTTTCCCCTATGCTAATGCAGTGCTCCCTCTAAGCTGTGGAGTGTGAGCAAACATTGTACTTTGTGAGCTGCTGGCACTAAAGTGGTGGGCGAATGATTTGGCTGCTGCATAAGTTAGTTTGCTCTGGAGCCATCCCTTCCTGAGCTGAGACAAAAATGTGTGAGTCGGAGGCTACAAAACTGTTATTTTTGGTGCTGGAGAAGACTCTTGAGAGTCCCTTGGACTGCAAGGAGATCAAATCGGTCAATCCTAAAAGAAATCAACCCTGACTGTTCCCTGGAAGGCCAGAGACTGAAGCTGAAGCTCAGCTACTTTGGCCACCACCAAATGAGAAGGGAGCACTCCCTGGAGAAGACCATGATGCTGGGAAAGTTTGAAGGTCAAGGAAGAAGGGGACGGCAAAGGATGAGATGGTTGGACAGTGTTATCGATGCAACGGACATGAAATTAAGCAAACTCTGGAGGACAAGGGAAGACAGGAGGGCCTGGCGTGATCTGGTCCATGGGGTCGCGAAGAGTCAGACTCGACTGCGACTGAACAACAACAACAGCTCACACTAACTCAGCTTAGAGGGAACAGTGAATGCACCCTCGTGTTTGTCATGCCACAGTTTCCTCCTTGCTGCCTCATGTTGCTGGCTGCTTCAAGCCGAAGGTAGGCAGATGCAGAAAGGAATGGTGTTGAGAAGTGGGCAGGTGGCCCTGCACACCGAGGAGGAACCCTCGCAGGACTGCTGTTTTTGGCGGCAGCTCTGTGTACATTGCAACATGTGGTCCTGCCCTTGGTTTTTATATCAAAATAAAAGCAACTTTCTAGCTCCCTTGTCAAGGCAGATTGGCTTGAGAAATAGATATGGTTTAGAAATTGAACAAAGGTCTAATGTAAGCCCGGTTTCCGCCCTCAAACCTGTTCTCAGTGCTAGGGCGACCAGCTTCAAATGCATAAAGTAGTCATAAGGAATAGATGCCTATGAGCACATGCAGAGTGTTTTCCTGTCTTATCACGTAACACTAGCCACCATGTCCCCATTGCCTTGGGTTGGGTGTAAAGGCTGTCAGGTCAGCCAGCGGGCCCCCTTCAGCCTCAGCACCTGCTGCCCTTTGGAAGTTAAGCATAGCTGACATTGGCCGTCTTTCCCCCCCAAAAAAAACAGTCTGGCTGGCTACTCAGAACCACAGCACACTGGTAACAGAGACGACAGTGGTCCCTTTTCTTCCTGTGAATCCAGAGTATTCCTCAACAAGGAACCAGGTATGTTAGATTGTGATTCCTCACCCCCCGGGTCTAATGACCAGGACTGAATGAACGTGTCTGTGTGTGTGTGTCTGTGTTTGTCATTCCCCCAGTGTCCCGGGTGCCAGCCTAACACTGTGTCTCTGAGCACACACCTGGGACGTTTCCAGTTCCTTCCTAAGATCTTGGGCTGTCTTGAACTGCCTTCCCCTTTCTGGTTGGACATATAGCGAAGGGAATGCCTAACGCAACTCAGTTTTAAAACAGGATCAGTGGGGAGGGGGCACAGGGACGTACAGAGCGGGTAGCTTCCCTTTCTGTCCTATATAAATTGGTGGTAGAAAGAGTTATGAAAGACAGCGTTTCAAAGGCAAAGAAGACTGAGCCTTGTGGAGTGGCATCAGCCCCGGCTTCAGCAAAGGGAAGTCCCGCCTCCCCAATCTGAGAATTGTTTGAGAGTGTCAGAAACCAGGTAGGCAGAGGTGACGTCGTACTTGGACGTACAACAACAAGCAGTACAGCACACAGCAGGAAATAGCAAAGAAGAGCAGAAAACAACTGTGAGCTGAATAGCCTGCAAAAAATATACGAAAGGAGACTTCAATAAAGTGAAATGCATATATAGTCTAAAATGAATCTATTCCTATAATCCCCTCATAGGAAAATACAGAGTCCAAAGTATAAAAATACAAGATAAATATCCAACACTTTTCCCAGGTAATTTTCAGTGTTTCAGACTTCTGGTCCTTCCTCAGGAACAAAGAACTGTGAAAAATACAAAATGCAATAATATGACAAACACTTATTGAAGCAACCTTTAATCAAAATGCAATAATATAATCTTTCATAAGGAGTAATCCCACAGAAACCCCCTTTTTCCCCACTGTTACATATAGTCTCGTAAACAAGAGTCAACATTGGGCAAGGTCTCCTAAACTCTAGTCAGCACCTCTAAAGGCTGCTTCTATGTAACAGGACCAAAACATGCTTCCATAGAGGCCAATGTTGAAGAAACAGAATAGTATTATCCTATAAGGGAACGGAGAGACTCCCAATGTTCTTTGTTCCGAAACACTGAAAATTACCTAAGAAAAGTGTTGGATAAGTACTTTGGACTCTGTATTTTCCTATTATGGATCTTCTTGGCTCCTGTATTTTCCTATGAGGGATTATATGAATGGATTCATTTTAGACTATATATGCATAGCAGTTGGCTGCCAAAAAGTACTGGACCAGGCGCCTTGCCGAGGGCTTCTGACCAAACAGGTAACAGTCCAGGGATAAGAGCACCTGTCCTTTTGGGTATTAGTAACTGGTTGAAAAAGAGGAAGTGGGGTGGGAATAAACAGGTGGGGAGGGAGGAGTGGGGTCCAGTGCTCCCTCTAAGCTGTGGAGTCTTGTGAGCAAAAATCCTACTTTGTGAGCTCCTGACATTTAAGTTGTGAGCGAGCGATTTGGCTACTGCATAAATCAGTTTGCTCTGGAGCCCCATCCTTCCTGAGCGAAGGCAAAAATGTGTGAGCCGGTGGCTAAAGAACTGTGCGCTAGCTCACACTGACTCAGCTTAGAGGGAACACTGGTGGGGTCCCCCAGGGATCTCCAGAACTTGTGGGGTTCTGAGCTGGCAGTGGCAGGTTTCCTCCCTAAAGACCTTGCTTTGTTGCTGGCACACTTGTCAAAAATGTCAATTCACCGCGCAGTGGCCTATTTTTTAAAGGGCAGATTGCACGCCAGGGGTCATCAGGGAAGGGATGCCAGTTTGGTGTAGTGGTGAAGTGTGCGGACTCTAATCTTGGAGAACCGGGTTTGATTCCCCACTCCTCCACTTGCACCTGGCTGGATGACCTTGGGCAAGCCATAGTTCTGATAAGAGCTGTCCTTGAAAAAGAGCAGTTTCTGTTAAGAGCTCTCTCAGCCCCACCTGCCTCCCAGGGTGTCTGTTGTGGGGAGGGGAAAGGGAAAGGAGTTTGTCAGCCACTCTGAGACACCTTTGGGTAGTGAAGGGCAGGGTGTAAATCCAATCTCCTCTTCTTCATCATCATCAGAAAAGAACTGCTGTGGCCGTGCTTGGAATGCCCACATACTGTTCTTATTGCCACATCTCAGGGTATTGTAGAGATGGGGAAAGTGTAGATGAACTACAGCATCTGGGAGTGGGTAGCAAGGGGGTAAAAGGGCCTGGGGGAGGGTGATGTGATATCTGGATACAAATTTAGGCTTGCTACATAAGAACCTAGGAGAACCCAGTGTTGGATCAGCCCAGTGGCCCCTCCAGTCCAGCACTCACACAGTGGCCAAGACCCAGGAGCCATCAGGAGGCCCACCAGTGGGGCCGGAACTCCAAAAGCCCTCTGGCTGTTGCCCCCCTTCCAAGTGCCAAGAATGTTTCCGTGTGTAGAGGAGGGGCTGCTGCCCTGGTGACGCTGGCTGTGCTCTCGTTTCATTCCCTGCCAACCCCTCCCCCAAACTCCTGCATAGTCTGACTGGCTTCTGTCTTTCAGGGGAGGCAGAAGCTGGCCCGCTTCAACGCCCACGAGTTCGCAACGCTCGTCATCGACATCCTAGGGGATGCCAAACGGAGGCAGCAGGGGAACCCTGTCCCGAGTTCCAAAGGTGAGTCCTGCCGGAGCGGCTGGCGGAGGCCCACGCTGACTTCCTCCTCCTTTGCTCTGGGACCCTTCCTGCCGCCACCTTGGCCATTCTGCCTTCTTTGGCCCTCTTTTATCTATCTCTTTATTTATTCAAAACGTTTTTATGCTGCCTTTCCCAACCAGTCAAGAGTCTCCAAAGCCCCCCGCCCCCAGTATTAAAACATGGAAGACTTGGAACACTTGATGAATTAAAAAGAACACTTAAAACATTCAAAATGATAAAATATGTCAGTAGAAACACACAAACGTGCAATACCAGAACCAGGGAGGAGACCAGTAACCATTATTTGGGGAGTCTGCCAAACAAAACAAGAAGAGGCTTCCCCCACTGGCAGAAGACACTGACGGAGTCAGACAAATCTCCCGGGGGAAGGAGTCCGAACGTTTTGGTGCCACGAACCCGAAAGCCCTTTTTTGAATTGCCACCTATCTAGCTTCGGGGGGGGGGGGGGGGAGGGGGGAGGGGGCGCTGAAGTTGACCAGAGAAAAGGGGGGCAGGTTCATGTGGGAGAAGGTGGTTCTTAAGGTATGTTGGTCCCAGGCCTTGCAGGGGCCTAAAGGTCAAACCCAGCACCCTAAATTGAGCCTGGAAGCAAACATGGAAGCTGGTGTAGATGGAACAAGGCTGGAGCGATCTGGTCCCTATGACTCACTCCAGTCAGCACTCTGGCCATGGCATTCTGCCCCAACAGCTGCTTCCAGACAGTCTTCAAGGGCAGCCCCGTGAAGAGCACATTGCAGTAATCTAATCTCGATGTTACCAGGGCTTGCACCAGCTAGCCAGCCATTGTGGTGTTCATCCTATGTAGAAGGCAGCAGTGCCTCAGTCCGGGCCGTGGAGTCCACACTGGGCAGCCAAATCGCTGGCTCACAACTTCAATGCCGGTGGCTCACAAAGTAGAATTTTTGCTCACAAGACTCCACAGCTTAGAGGGAGTATTGGTCAGGTGTAATCAGGAGTTGTTAACTTCAAGGCAAAAATGGGGGACACTTGTTTCCTGCTTGTTTCCAGCTGCAGGGGGGGGGGTGGGTTGGAGGGCGCCTGGATCCTGCCGTTCCCGTTTGCTTTCTTCCGAGTTTTTTGGAGCCGCAGTTCTGGGCTGGATTGTCGTGAGGAAAAGCAGGCTTCCTTAAGCGTCAGCATTCTGGCTTTTTCTAGAAAACGTTGAACTCATCCTGAAGTCGATCAGCAGCCAGCACAGTACGGAGAGTCAGGAGAACGACCAGCCCGACTATGACAGCGTCGCCTCCGACGAGGAGGTGGATCTTGGAACGAACATGGCCAAGACGGCTCGCCAAAAGGTAGTGCCCCCCCCCCAGTCCTTGCACAGGCTGCAAGCTGCAAAGTGGGCTGCAGAAGGCTTTGCTGGGGGACTCCTACCTCTTGCTTGCAACCTGTCTACATTCTGAGCACTGCTCTCCAGGTTGCAAAGAGTGGCCTTCCTTCCTTCCTTCCTTCCTTCCTTCCTTCCTTCCTTCCTTCCTTCCTTCCTTCCTTCCTTCCTTCCTTCCTTCCGTAACCAGCAGTGCCCACTTCCCCAGCGCTCGATGTCATTTGAGAAACAGAGCTGCAGAGCCAGCTAGCCGTTACTGGCCAGTGCATTCCGAGCTGGATGATCTGACTTGGAAGGAGGCCACTGCATGTTTTTGTGCAAATCTCATAAGTGTTCAGGATGTGTGCCGTGTGCTGTGGGAGGGGCCGTGGCTCAGTGCTAGAGCATCTGCTTCACGTGCAGAAGGTCCCAGGTTCAATCCCCAGCATCTCCAGTTTAAAAAAAAAGGACCAGGTGGTCGGTCACGTAAAAGAACTCTGCCTGAGACCCTGGAGAGCCACTGCTGGTGTGAGTAGACGATGATGACCTTGATAGACCAAGGGGTCTGTTTCAGCTTAGGGCGGTTTCATGTGTTCACCATCCCCTGGTGTTTGCCCTGCTCCCTGCCCAAGACCCCCCTGTGTTAACCAGGTGCAAAATATTGAGCAGAATTATTAGAGGGGGAAAGCAGTTGCTGCCATGGCCGGCTGGCAGGCTTCCCAGGGGCATCTGGCTGGTCCCTGTGGGACATGAGACAGGTCTGGTCCAGCGGGGCAGTCTTTGTACCTCCTCACTCCCCCTGCCAGCAAAGGAAGAGCTGCCCTCGTCCTGGGGGCTCAGTGTTCCAGATCCTCTACAGCAGGGTTGTCAAACTCATTTGTTACAAGGGCTAGATCTGACTTAAAGGTCACTTTGTCAGGCCCGGCCATGTGTGCCATAAAATGTAACATGAGGTACTGGAGATATAAACTTTATAAAGATGATTTCAGATGTCGAATGGCAAAAGCAAGCTTAAGAACATAAGAGAATCCAATGCTGGATCAGGCCAGTGGCCCATCCAGTCCAACACTCTGTGTCACACAGCGACCAAAAATGCCAGGTGCCACCAGGAGGTCCAGCAGTGGGGCCAGGACACTAGAAGCCCTCCCACTGTTGCCCCCCCCAGCACCCGAATACAGAGCATCCCTTGCCCCAGACTGAGAGTTCCTATCTGTACCTTGTGGCTAATAGCCACTGATGGACCTCTGCTCCATATGCTTATCTAATTCCCTCTTGAAGCCGTCCATGCTTGTAGCCGCCGCCACCTCCTGTGGCAGTGATTGGATTAGGTGTGATATGCAAGAGGGGTAATAGGTGTGGAGATATCAGCATTGGTAATGAGACAGAGAACCTAGGTCTCAATTTGGTCCAGGAGGATGCAAAGAATAAATGGAAATAAGTCTGAAGAAGTGAGCAGTGACTCACAAAAGCTCATAACCTACCACAAATTTTGTTAAGTCTTTAAGGTGCTACTGAACTCTTACTCTTTCTACTGCTATTAGAAACCACAACATTCAGAAACTAGTGCGGGAACATTTTAACCTTCCAGGACATTCAGTTGCTGACCTAAGAGTAGCAGTTCGCCTACAAAGGATTTTCAAAGGGAAGTTAGAAAGATAGACCGCTGAATTGCAATTGATGATGAAACTCAAGACAATGCATCCTTCTGGTCTGAATTAAGACCTAGGTTTCTTCTCCTATCACCAATGCCTGCTATTGCAATTTGGCGTCTGAAATCACTTCACTCTCCAAGATATAAGGGCAGATGGACTCACATTCTAGTTGTATCTGAAGAAGTGAGCAGTGACTCATGAAAGCTCCTGCTCTGCCGTGGATCTCTCTCTCTCTCTCTCTCTCTCTCTCTGACTATCACACACACACACATGCTACCTCTGGCTCTTTTCCTCCCTCCCCCTCTCTGTCTCTGAAGAAGTGTGCAGGCACACAAAGCTTATACCTGGAATCAGGGCTCTTTTTTTTGTAGAAAAAGCCTAGCAGGAGCTCATTAGCATATTAGGCCATACCCATGACAAGCACAACTAATTAGCATATTAGGCCACACACCCCCATGCCTTCCCTTGGCTTGCCTGGGCACCCTGCAGCTGCGGGGCGCCCGGGCAAGCCC